TATATATATATATATATATATATATATATATACATATATATATATATATATATATATATATATATATATATATATATATATATGTATGTATGTATGTATGTATGTATGTATGAGTGTATGTGTTCCTTACGTATAGATTTGTAAAATAGACCCACATTTCAAATACACACACACACAAACAGATATATATGTGTGTGTGTTTAGGTGTGTATGTTTATTCTTTACGTATGTAAGAAACTTGTACTGATTGTATCATTATGTTTTTATTTTGAATTCGTTCCCTGATTTTGCGTTTGTTTTTGATTGAGTTTCCAAAACACATATTCTTGATCAATAGCAAAAATCGAAGCCTGCTAATATTGATAATTGGATTAGAATCCAATTTTTTTTTCTTTGGAATCAGGCTTTGCGAAATCAATTTGGAGTTGTTTTTTTTTCTTCCTTTATCATAGAACTTTTTTTCCGTCTTACAAAGGTGTATCAATGTGAGAAACCCCACTCGTCAAGTATTGAGCATATGTGTCTACGTCTGTCCAAATTCGCAGGAAGAGAAACTAAAACATAGCAAGAAAGAATTTAAAGAATATATTAAAAAAAAGCTCGGCACTTCCTTGTTCTTCTTATATCAAAAAAGTAACTCAATAAAAAAAAAAGGTGTAATTACCAACTGCTATCAACTGCCACTAGTTAAAATAATTGAGGCTATGTATTTTTCAAATTCATGAGTTTTTCTTAGGTTAAAACAAAGAATCTATTCGAAAAACATATAGCTGCAGTCAAATGTTTACTGAACTGTTGATTAAAGTTTTTTTTTTTTAATTTATTTCTTCTGTAAAGAAATAATGCAGTTTGGTCTATAAACATGACGTGCAATTGTACAGAATCTGAAAAAACAAATACTAAGCAAGTTTAATGGATCCGTTATAAAGGAGTCTTATTAATTTGGATAACGTAAGAGGAATCCTCGGTAATATGGAATTCTCTCAGAAATACTCACATACAAAAAGATAAAAAACTTGTTTCTCCATCATTCTAAATGTTGACCAAATAATGGTGCGTGTCAATGTTAGAAGTCGCCGAATGGAAAAGAAAGCACTTCATCAAGTCACGTGAATTGAAGTCTACGTGTAACCTTTGAAGATATGTCCCTATAAAAAGAGAATTAATAAGACAGACCGAAGACAGCTGAAGACGACAAAACCTGGGGGATGGATTGGCTTTAACTAAACTATTAAAATCAGAGTTCACTTGGTACCTGATGGACCCAACAGGTGTAGACTATGTGAGCAAAAGAAGAAATATCATCTCCTGTACAAGGAAGATTCCAAACAATATAAGAACTCAAGAGCCAAATATTAAAGAGACTTGTAGCATTTCATCAATCTGACAATAAAAGCGACGATAACCGCTCGACAAAGAATACCAAAATTAAAGCAGTTTCTTATATTGGAATCCTACGAATTCAGTAAAAAAAGGTTAATTACTGCATTGAAGATGATGTTTTGCATAACTGTGTGTTTTACTTGTGTTTAGTTAAACAGATTTATTACATATATCCACAAAACTTTGCCAATAGATCTAACCATATACAGAAAATTAATGTATTGTAGCTCAATGGTTATATGATGGGATGAAAAGAAGCGAGCATTTTGTAAGCACAGAAAATATCTATTTCGATTGGTTTCTTTATTACTTTAGTTCTCTAGACGGACAGCTGACACGTCTGGTTTGATGGACATCGTTATTTTCATAATATAAAATGGATTAATTAGAGATATACTTAGACAATCGGCAAGATACTGAGAATGAGGAAAATGCGGTGAAGTGGATAGATAGATAGATAGATAGATAGATAGATAGATAGATAGATATAGATAGATAGATATAAACAGGAGTTCCATTAGAGGGATCTGCACAGACTGCGATAAGAGCAGGAATAATAGAGGATACGTGGTGATATTAATTCAGTTTGTTAGAGATCTAAATGGACTCAGATATTTAGATAGATAGATAGATAGATAGATAGATACATACATACATACATACATACATGCATACATAGGGATATACCGAGATAGATAGATAGATAGATAGATAGATACATACATACATACATACATACATACATATATAGATAGATAGATAGAAAGATAGATAGATAGATAGATAGATACATACATACATACATACATATATATATATACATACATACATACATACATATATGTGACATAGATAGATAGGTAGATAGATAGATATATACATACATGCATACATAGGGATAGACCGAGATAGATAGATAGATAGATAGATAGATAGATAGATAGATACATACATACATACATACATATATAAATAGATAGATAGATAGATAGATAGATAGATAGATACATACATACATACATACATATATGTGACATAGATAGATAGGTAGATAGATAGATACATACATACATGCATACATAGGGATAGACCGAGATAGATAGATAGATAGATACATACATACATACATACATAAATAGATAGATAGATAGATACATACATACATCCATATATACATACATACATACATACATAGGGACAGACCGAGATAGATAGATAGATAGATAGATAGATAGATAGATAGATAGATAGATAGATAAGTACTTACTGAGATAATGAGGGGTGTTGATATCAACAGGCTTTGACGACTTCAAACTGAGTGAAAAGGATAGATACGCATATAAATACGATAGAATATCTGTAAACTTTTTTTTTCTTAGGAGATGAAATATATAATCTATCGAATGTTAAATTGCTCTAGAATTAAAAAAAAATATTATCAATCTTCATTTAAATTCTACCCTAAGGCATTCAAAGGAGAATATCGTCAAAGCATCAAGTCAAGTTAAATTATAGAATAATTTCGCCTAACACTCTGAGAAAATCGAAAACCTAAAAGGAATTTTCACTGAGAAAACGATAAAGATTATTGGAAAATCAATTGCACTGCTAAGATCCGAAGGAAAAAATAATTGCTAAAAATATTTTAAGATGTTTTAAATACAAAATGTTCATGGATTTTCAAAGACATTTTTCCCTTCGAAATATTAATTTTTATCTATACGCAGTGTGCTTTCAGGCTTTTTTCCGAACCATTTTTTCTGAAAACTGTCAATTGAATTCTTACAGATCTGTAATACATTTTAGAAGTCCGAGATCGAACCCTTGCTAGTTTAATCAATCGCCCTTCTTTTCTAGGGTAAATATTTACGACTTAGATGTCAGCCAAGATTTGAAATGAAAAATCTTCTTCACGTTTGAACAGTTGGAGAAGTATCTCCACCTACCGCAACTGACGTACTAACAGAACCACCGACGTTTTCCGAATAGTTACGCTTAGAAAATCTCACGTAAAAAGCCTGAGTCAACTCGTGGTATGGTTCGAATCATTTGAAATCTTGACTTTGAACACTGACACATGGTACTAATAAAATATATTTAACTATTTCGTCTAATCCTTTTGGGATTGCGTTTTAGAATGTTTACAAAAAGTACTCCTTGATTTGCCCACTGTTAACATGTGACCGTGATAGTTAAAAGTATAAACAGTTCACCTTTGAGAAGCCGAAGAAGCATTATCTACTTCCGTCATTAACCTGCGAGGACATACACTGTTGGCTTCCGAGAAACTTCCTCTATTTCATTTCACTCACAATGCTTCGGTCAACTTTCTCAGGTATTTTCTAAAGTTGCCGCGCGCTGGGATAGTCTTCCAAGGTGATATTCCCAAAGCCGTATTATTGACAATAGTGAGATTGAAACCTGAATTACATGACTAACCTGAATTACATCGCTAACCCTCGAAAAATTCAGCCACTAGCCCATTTACATGGATTGTTCTGATTTATATACTGACAGCAATTTTACCCCTCTTGAGACTTGTATACTTTCAGTGAACAAATGATATATATATATCTGCATAAACCCCCTCATCATTTGTACATTATATATATATCATCTGTATAAACCCCCTCATCATTTGTTCACTGATAGGTATAGGTATATATATATATATATATATATATATATATATATATATATATATATATATATCCCTTCTCCTAGACCAGTTGCCATCCAAGGCTATAGAACCCAGTCTGTCCTGATATTTTACCGATAGCTGGAGGGAGAGGAAGAGGATTCATACCTTTCCCAAGGGTATTAGCATGTAAGTGAATGTAATGGATTCGACTGGAATTCGAACTCGGCTCTGCGATTCCTCAATCCAAGCCGCTATCCATTACTCCACCGTGCCACTCTGAATTCAAAACCTGCGGAGGGTCATTTGGGAACCTTGTGGCACTCGATGCACCAGGTCTCTGTATTCGTCCCTTCAAAAAGTGTGGATGGTCCTGCACGAAACCTTCACCACTATAATCAAATCTCATGTGCCGGTGTCGGGCTGTCGGTTTCCAGGAAACTGATCTGCTTGACCCTCATACGTCGAATCTCGACAGGAGAGTCGATTATATATATATATATATATATATATATATATATATATATATATATATATATATATATATATATATATATATATATATATATATATCTTGAACAAAAAATCAACATTCTCCATCTAATCTTTCAAGTAATGTGTCTCAAAATTTACATTTCCAAACAGTAAGTATGATCTGAAGTTTCAATGAAACCATTGATGCCACATAACCTGAATTCCTCATAAGAATTCAAGATATGGAACTAGTAAATACTAAATACTTGAAATGACTCAGTGTATAGATAATTTACAGCGAATTTTGTATGGGAGCTCAGAATATTATTCAAAGAATAGGCATCGCTAAATATAATTACGCCCGACACTGCGAATTACTAGAAAACCAAAACATTAATGCAATAACACGAGATCAAGGCTTCCATATGAATGTCATGCATGGCGCCCCAAATCGTTTAAAATCTAAACTGTAAGCTGTATGAAATGCTCAGAATGAGTATTAACAATTGCTTTTGGTGAATGGACACAGTTCATCTTGGAGAGGACTATTTGTATACTCGTAATGGTATCACAAAATCACAAAGAAAACACTGTGCCACATGCATCATCATTTGAGGGTTTTCAACAGAACCCAACGGATATGAAAATTAAAACAAATACATAATCAAAATGTTGGCCTTCCACACTATTTCAAATAAAAGTTTAAGAACGAAGCCCCTATCAATAATAGAAAGAGCGTTAACAGTTAGTGGAACTGAAAATTTCTTTCAATAAAATTATTTTACAAATTTAAACCGACAGTAGCACTAGCTGTTCGGTAAATGAATGCCGAATGTTCTATATACGGAAAAGGGCTAATATTACTGTTACAATTACCATCTCCGCTCAAGAAATGTTTTCTCTTGTTTTGTAAGTACAGAAATCCTCGGGTTACGTCGGACACGACGTACAGCCTTCCGTGGTTACGAAGTCAACTCCCATAATATAATACGTCATCGTGCATGGCTTATGAGGAAAATGGCGTTGTTCCTTCAAAGTCTGTACGCCATATTGAATTTTGCTACATTCGCTATCTCTCGTTTGTGTGAGTGTGTTTTTTTTTTTCAGAACTGTTTGCTCTTCATTACGGCTCCTAAGCGTAGGGAAAACTCCTGGGTGCTAATGTCTGTGAGTTCCAACCTACGTCGAAAATCAGAATACGTCGCGCCGTAGAAACGGTCTCCGACGTAAGTCCAGGACATTCTGTATTATATGCCTGATAAAGACTCGAGAAAAGATCGGTCGAATCGTATTAATAATATCAAGAAGAAAAAACACAAAACTGCAACTTCCTGTAGTTTTTGTACTTATATTAAAATTTCGTAACTGTTTTATTATTATTTTTCGGCCGATGCACTCTCCGATCTTATTAATATCATTTTTATATTTTACAGACGGTGTTTCTACCGATGTGCTTTTCGGCATTTTAGCTGTATGTGCTGCACATGATTACATTCGTATTTTGTTTTATTTTTTTAAATTTGCCACAATTTCATTGAGATCATTTCCATGATCAATAAATAAAATGACTCTTTACACAATATAAGCTAATGAATAACTTACAACTTTTCAAACACACCTTTTCATTTTTTTTGCCAGGAAAATCTGTGAAATATGAAACTCTAAAACGGAATTTGTGCTTATAATATTTCATACATTAAGAAAGAAATCGAAATGGATTCAAATTTGGTTGCGTGCAACGAGAGAAACATATACACACACGTAAAACACGAACCAACTTAACGGTATTAGATTTCTTCTTACATTTGGCTTTCCGGTCTTATGGGAATATTAGATTATTTGCAAAGTAATTTCGGATTTAAATTATGTGAGTTTCAAATACATTCTGTAAAATTAAGGTTGAATTTCAAATTAGGAAACAGAGATTGCGTTTAACATCTGTTTTATGTGGATTCTTTTTTGTTTTGTGTATTTTTTTCCTCTTACAGCTCTAAAGATATACTAGCAGTGTTTTGTCTTCTATTGAAACATGCCAAAAATGGTTGTAAATATATCAGAACATTTCAAAAGTTCCTACCCGATTTTCATTGTTAATATAAATGACCGTAACTTTGACAGTAGTGTTTGTTTTGGTACCAATTTCTGGTGCGTTCTACAGGGTGGCCCGAAAGTTTTTTTCACCCGCTACCAAAAAATAATGAGAAGAATAGAAGAACAAGTATTACAGTAATACAAAGCACGTCTATTGGGCTCAGTTTATTCACTTCCATTGACTCTGCCAGAGATTGAGAAGGTCTGTATGAATCCCATCATTTTCATGGAACCGAATTATTCGACGCTATGTCTTGTGTGATATTTTATGAAGCTGTGCTTTGTTGTTTATTGCAAAGGCTCTCCGAACAGCGTCCTTTAACTGATTGGTATTCTGGTATCGTTCATGTGAAGCTCTTTCCTTGATAATACCCCAACAAAGAGTTGAAATAAAAAATTATATTATATAGGCGTGACAAGACTTTCAGACCATCCTGTACACTGAAAACGTGTACTGTTCAGCTGAGTGTCAGATTTGTTGAATGTTGATGTTTTGCCTACAAATGAATGCTTTAAAGAGGGGGAGGATGAAATGACTACACTTTCGCCATATTATGCTTTATGAATTTCAGAAAGGACTAAGCGTTGGAACTGAGAGAAAAAAACATTCATAATGTTTATTTGGATTGTGCTTCGGCGGGTCAAAAAGTGGTTTGGCAGATTCAGTCCTGGTAGTTTTAGTCAAACGATCAACTACGCTTCAGGCGAACATTCAGTCTGCTATGGAAGATTTCGACGAAAAAGATTGCTATAAAGGTCACAATCTCTGACGGAAGAGAACAAGCTGGATCGTCGATCTGCGCCGATTTCTTTGCTGTTCTCGGACGGAATTGTTGCTGGCGTAAAAAAAAAAATGGATCGTTTATGATAACGTTCGCGGCAAACGAATCTGGCAAACAAGCTTGCAAATGCATAGAAATTGTAGTTAAATCCGGGCTTGCATCAAATGAAGGTATTTCTGTCCGTTTGGTTAGATTACAGAAGGATAATTCACTTTGAGCTTCTGTCAGCCGGTGAAAGAATAACTGCAATGAAGTATTGCGACCAACTCACCAATCTTAATGCGGCTATTCAAGAAAAACGTCCGACTTTGGTAACTCGAAAAGGTGTCATTTGCCAGCACAATTCAAGACCACATGTTGCAAAGCAGATGCTCCAGCATCCACCGTATTCTACTGATTTGGTTTCTTAAGGTTTCCATTTATTCTGCTTTCTACAGAACAATTTAAATGGACTCTGTACAGTCAGTCGAAATCTAAATCACATTGATTTGCTATAATAGCAACGATTCGGATGAAATTTCGTTGGCCTGACAATAAAAATTAAATACCACAAGGGCGCCATTGATAAATAGAGGATCAGAAATGACAGTAACATTTCAGGCGGCAGCAATAAGAAAAATAATACGGCGGGGAAGGAGTTCAAGCGTGACAGCAGCTGTAGCAAGTGAGCATGCATTAAGAAAATTAGATAGCAACGTGGCTTCGCGATTTGAGCGACAAATGATTCTGAGTTCATTGCCTGGGTCAGGTAGTCTAGACATGTGTAAATAAAGCTAACAATAACTAAGGAAAAAATGTCGAAAAAAACGACGAGATATTTCTAGACATATAATCACCTCTTGTACATTAAATAAACTATTCAGTTCGAAATTAAGGTTAATCGTATCGACAGGCACCTGAAAATGACCGAAGAGCTTATCTGCCGAAACGCATGTTATAATAACAGCAAAGATGAGGATACAAGTGCGAATATAGATAATGGATTTATTTTTTCGAGGAGTGGAAGAGTAACCTGAACATATTTGTGAGGGATATTTAAAGAAGCCAGTTGATGGCGACTCTTATCAATGCGACAGAGAGTGTGTAGAGAGAGATAAAATGCATTACTTTCACTCTAAGATAAAGAAGACGTCATTTTTCTTGCCTCAAATTTCTTTACGTCAAAATCCCTGAATTTTAAGGAACGTTAATGGATATTTTTTTTTTCTTTTTATGTTAGGTTACTGTAATTAGTAATGACAGCTGATCAATAATATTCAATTTGTTTTCTCTTTGAAAACGCGAATGTATTTTCTGGGCTGCCTAACACACAAACACACAAAAGCATACACACACAGACGCACACCCAACTATATATATATAATATATATATATATATATATATATATATATATATATATATATATATATATAACATTCGTTGAAACGACTGACAAGATACTGAGGTGAAGAATTTTTTTATTTAATTTTTTCTTGTGTTATTATTTACTCTATTTCTTTATATAGATTATGTAGAAATTTTCTGTCCTGTATGTGCGAGCGCTTTCCGCTATATATTTATTCATTATCAAGGATGATTTGATTCTCACATTTAACTGAATGAAGGGATTTTTATGTATGGATTATTTATGCATATATGTCGAGTTATAAAACATTACTATAACTCTACTTTTAGCCATTATCAAGGAAGATTTTATTTTCAATTTTATTGGTTTTTAGTGTTATAGAGATGTTTTATTTTCCGAACACTACACATCCAGGCCGTGTACGTAGTTAATATTATTAAGTATTTGCTTCTCATTTATTATTAAGTCTTCCATTGTTTTGTATCTTTTTTTTACATTTGGATGAGGTTATTGTGTTTGTATTTTCTACTAGTATGTTTCGAATGGAATCGGGTAAGCTTGTGTGTGTGTGAGTTAAATGGATTATAATAGAATTGGTATGAGATAGGTGTAACTTAAGTCGTCTGGATAGACATGTAGTCATGTCACCGATGTCAGTCATTCAAGTCTGAACCGACTGTTCGGTTGTACTCTCTTCCTACGGACGGGAGGAACCCGAAGGAGGCTACGCCGAAGGGCGGAGTCTCCTTCGGGCAGGTAAAATCAGCCCTGAACCCGTTTATACGGGTTCAATAGGCTATTTTTTGGCCGAGCCTAATGGCTCGGAAAGCCCACGTTAAAAAGGCCTTGTGCCACATGACACCCTCGTGGGGGGCGGGTGACTGAATATCGTCACCGATGTAATTATTTATGAATTCGCTTTGATCAGGAACAGTTTTTTAAGGGGCATTTGAACTCATAGATAATGTTTATTCTTTGTAATTTTGATTTTGATAGCGTGTTGTTATTTTTGAGGATAAGGTTAGCTGTTTTAAAAATGTTTGTAGTAGATAATTAATTTGATTTTTTTTTGTTCGGGTTAATTTGGGTTGTGTATTTCTTTATGATATTTCTAAGTGAAGATTCCTTTTCCTTGTAGTTGATGTGCATTTGAGTTTTGTAGGAAATATTTGTTATTTTTTACTGTGTTCACTATCGTTATAGTGAAATAGTCTAATATGTTGTTTTATAAGTTGGTTAGGGAAGCCATTGTTAACTAGTGTCTGTTTTACATTATTGATTTATTTAAGGAAGAGTAGTCGAGATGATGGATTCTGGTGTACTCATTTTAGGAAGTTTTTATCACTGCTATTTTGCATCTTTTAAACTCAAGATGGCAAGAGTTGCTGCTAGTAGTTTCTTCATATAACGAGATAATTAAAGTGTTATTATATTATACGGGAACATCTCCAAATGAGACTTTATTCTTTGACTAAGTTCGTAGGTAAAATTAAGGATAGATTTTTTTCAAATGTGGTCTTAAGAGTATCTATGTTATTAGTGCTGTTTGCTAAAATTATATATATATATATATATATATATTAAGAATTGGACAAAAGTCCGACAATTTATTAAAGACATTTTTAGGTTTAACATTGTTTTTTATAGATACAACTAAACAGTGCATTTACTTAAATACTTGTATCTATAAAAAGAATGTTAAACATAAAAATGTCTTTAATATATATATATATATATATATATATATATATATATATATATATATATATATATATGTAACGTTTTCAATAAAAACAAAATAAATAGAATAACATGTATTTTTACTTTTTTTTTCCTCGGTAACTTTAATTTTAAACTTAATAGAGATTAAAGTTAGATTTTAAAATGGGTAATTTTTTTTATTTTTTATTTTAATTTCAAATTTTATCTTATAATTTAATACTCATTAGTTAGAATAAATTCTATTCTAGTATAACCCCAACTTTAAAAAACATTTAATAGTTATTATAACCTTACTTAGTTGTCAAGTTTGTTGAATTCTCGTATACTTGTATACTGATTCGCCATTCCAGCTCAGGTAACAGCGTTTTCCCTTACGTGCGGTGGTTAATTATTTTGAACCTTTTAAAACCTTCATTCTACAACCTACATTCAACATCATCACTTGATAAGACACCAGAGGTGTTGAAACAAAATGGCTATTTTTGGAGTGATTTTATAACATGTTTATATTATAATTTTTAAATAGATAATTATATAAATAAATAATTATACACAAACACACACACACACACATATATATATATATATATATATATATATATATATATATATATATATATATATAATTCAAATTTATAACAAGTGCATGCTATAAAATCGCTACAAAATTTGCAATTTTGTTTCCACACATCTGGTGTCTTGTCAAGTGATGGTATTAATGGAAAATAAACGGTTTTAAGAGTTCAAAAGCCACCCCCACTCAGTAGGGGAAACTTTGTTATGTAACTTATAACGACCAATCAGAATACAAGTATATGGCGATTTAAAAGAACATGATTACTCTAGTATAAGTACAATTTATTAGTGCATCAAAGTTAAGATTAGATTAAATTAGAAATCAATATAAAAATTACATTTTAAGTTAACAGTTAAATTTAAAATTAAGTATTAAAAATTTTATGTCTGAAATTCTAAAGTTAACCGAACAATAAGTTTAATATTGTTTCAAGATAATTCGAAAATGAAAGTAAGAGAAAAAAAAAGTATATTCTATTGTTCTTAGCAAAGTGCCAATTTATCAGTTAAGTTCGATGCTGATGAAAAAAAATTATCTCTGATCGCTACACATATTTGAAACATGGAAGTCAGAATTCAAATAAGGAAGCGGGTAAGGAAGGGAATTTCTAGATGATAGGACAAACTGTTATATACCGTACATATGAACACAAGTGGATATGTCGCAATCCTCATAATTACGTTGAAAATTATTGTAAATTGGGGTAATATGTTGTCTAAGTCGTCCACTACTAGCAGTGGTTTACCTAATTCAAGCCGCTGGCGAGTATTTTATTTTGTTGTTGTTATAAAAATTACCGTTTCATTTAAGAGATTAATGGTATCCTTAAATCTAATAATTTCCACTTTTTCATTGAGATAAAGATAATATGGTGCGGATAGAGAATTACAGGTTCGATACCTCTTAAGTAGTTTCCATTTAGCTGTAGGAGTTTTGTTTTTTTTCTCTTTTAAACTCCAAAAGTACTCCGACAACGAGTACTATTCTTATAAGTGCTAATGTTGTAGGATAATGCATGTTGATACCATCTAGTTTTAAACGAGTTTTTAGTGCTTCCAATGTAGAATTTTTAATATTAGGGTTTCCAAGTGTAGAAATGCATTAATTTTACATGGACTCATAATTCTTTATTGTTACCTATGCACACATGTGCGTATGGATGTATGTGTGGTTGATTCTATATTTGTTTATATACGTGTGTATATACATATGTATATACACACAAACATGCACATACGCATCATAGAGCATTTTTATAGATATACTTTTATATATATATATATATATATATATATATACGCATACATACATACGTTTCTTAGTTATATATACCTGCACACTTTAATTTGTTACATGCTACAAATACACACACACACACACGTATATATATATATATATATATATATATATATATATATATATATATATATATATATATAAAATTCAAATTATGGCCATGGAATATTAGCATTTAAGCTTTTTTTATT